AAAAACTATTAGATATTTAATGCAATATATTATAATGATCCGTAGTTCTGTATATAATTTTTACAACACCAATAAACTTCAAACGTTTGTGTATAGACTGTACAAAATAAATATATTGGATAGTAACTTTAACGTGAGTCACAACTTCTTGTAACAAATGCAATGTTACTTCATATTAATTAGGGCCTACTATGTATTGATTGCAGTGAAAAGTGTTTTAGAACACCTTGTAATGGATATATTGCAACATGAGTCGGGACACCTCGTTGTACAAGGACCGTCGACCAGGTCATTGTCACAACCGTGACACACATCAGATCACCGTGTAATGAATTTAGCGTAATTACACCCCGTACAAACTTTTCACGAATCTTCATTCGTAACTTCCGGCTGGCGTTGGGTACAAACAACGGCGATAAACAGGAATGTTAACTGGATAGTAGTCCTCAAACGCTATAAATAAAATTAATTACCACATCGGTTCAGGTAAAACAACACAAGCTTATAAACATGTCAGTTTAGAAATCTGTAATTAAAGTGAGCAAAAATTTGGCAATACGCGAAACGTTATGATTAATACAGCCCGGACAATCAATTTCGATATCGACCGAGGAGTTAAATAACTTTCTTCTAACGCTTTCACCTATTAGTACTTTGTTAGTTTATATTAACATGTATCACCCGCTTTTTAATATGAGCCGGGATAGCTCAGTCAGTATAGTGACTAGCTACGGGCTGGACGGCTGGGGTTCGATCCCCGACGGGGGCAGAGGATTTTTCCTCTAGCCTCTGCGTCCAGACCGGCTCTGGGGCCCACCCAGCCTCCTCTACAATGGGTACCGGGGTCCTTTCCCGGGGGTAAAGCCGGCCAGGGCGTGATGCTGACCACTCACCCCCATCTAGTGCCGAGGTCAAGGAAGAGAGGAGCTATACCTCCACTCACCCCAAACGCCTACATGGCGTATAGTGGGACAAACTTTACTTTACTTTTACCCGCTTTTTAATAATCAGTAACTTTGGACTTTGTATTTGTGGATTTTGTATGATGCTCAAAATAAACAGGGACCCGGGGGGGGGGCTGGCACCCCCGAGGTACCCGAGCTACCCAGTGCCTGGGGGTATAGCTGGGCCACCTTATCTCCTTTGCTGTAAATACGGAGGTCTGGTCCTCAGGTTGGGGATTGGGCGTGGGGCTGACCCCACCCTGAGATGAAGAAACTACCGGATGGACTCATTCACGGCGGACTGGCAAACAGATTGTCTGTGAGTGAGGAAGAATGGAGGAAGCTTTTGAAGAAGGCCAGGGCCCACACAGCGCTGTAGAGCCAATGATGATGATGATTTCCTTAAACATCATTAACCAGTTGATCGTTGTAGCAGAAAGCATAAAATTCATATAAAAAAATTCCACCGACTTTTTTGAGGCCTCAGAAAACGAAACATGATCTGCCATTTAGGATCCTATATTGAAATGTTAACCTTGTAAGTCACAGTTTGCAGACGATATTCAGCTTAAGAGCGTTTTTTTTACCAGTCTTAAATATACCCACAAGTCAAAAACGCAGAACTTTTAAGAAATCTTAGAAAATTTTATATATATATTTTTTTCAGAGTGCACAACACAAGCGCGAGAAATGTGTGTTTTGATTTCTGTTTCATGGTGGTAACTAATGATCTAATGGATTTAACTTTTTCACATTTATTTTAAACACTCACGCGTCATATTTCCGTGCTTTCTTAATTTATCTGCGACTCTCTCTTTCGTCTGTTATTTAACAGTCCTCATCTTCCAAGACAAATGTCCTTTCTCTGTCAACATTTTCGAACTAAAATATCATGTGGTAAACTTGTAAAGTTCTGTATTTTCTCCTGTTCGCCTTTGTGACATTTTATTTGTCAGACTTTTCACATAACTCCTACGTCCTCCGTGTCCAAACTCCACTTCGTCGTTCCTCCTGCCTGTCGAAGTTCCCGCTCCCTTCCAGCCATAAATACGGCTGTGACACTAATTAATGCACGTTCACAAAATGACAAACTTCGAACTGTAACCACAGAGACTAACAGGGCAGGCATCCTAACGACACAGTACCTGTACCAGAAGTCTAAAAAATCCAGAGCCTTCTTCTAATGGTAGCGAATAATACAGCCTACTCTACGTGAGACTTAAGTAACTGGATGAAAAGTGCGTAGGATCTGAGTTTCTCACGGGGGTGAGTAAGAAGATGGCTGTCTTCTGGGTTGTAGGGCTGTGGAGGCAACAAAGACCTCTGAAATACTGGTCAACTTCTATCAGACTACAGGGCGCAACACCCCAAAAAAAGACAGCCATCTAAAAAGCACGCACTTCAAATTTATAAACCCAAAAACTTGCGACTTTTAAGACACCACAGTAACACTGGTCAGCATATATCAGCTAAAAATACCTTCAACAGTATGTAACTAAATATTTCGTTTGTCCCTGCTTTATGTTTCATATTTATCTTATTCTCTTTCCATCCTTTTACTTAAACTTCACATCATTGCATCTTTGTTCCTTAATGAATGAATCAGTTGATGGAGAGGGTGGAATTAACTGTTCTTCCGTGCGACCGTCTACGATCTACGTACCGTCTTAGCATCTAGTAGTCTTGCACCTCGAATGAAGTGCAAATCGTTACTTAGCAGGCCAACGTGGAAGTCACTTGTATTAATAAAGTGTGGTGAACGCCAGGTGGCGAAATCTTGATTCAGGTAATCATCACAGTCACACACAATGTCAGCATCCAGTCTGTTGTGACGTGTCACTCAGGTTCGATTATACTCCTAAGCCTGTTCTCCCCTTAACGCCAAAGACCAAGCGTCCATTACCAAAATGAGACCATCCAATTTCCGGCAAAAGCTTGATGACGTACCCAAATCGTTCTCTGAAACCAGTTCGTCTGCTTTCATGATCAGGTTACGACGTCAGCTAATGGCATCGACCGGAAACGACAGTGTACACTGATGGAGTCGATACAATCTCGCACAAAGCGAGCAATAAACACAAAGCTGGACGAGGATTGCGGATAAAATAAGCAGACAATTCTCCGACGAAACAGACAGCTGAATAGCATTGGCCAACAGCGCTGTGTTTGGTTAACTGGTCCAGTTTCTATCCCTGAAGAAGATTCGTATGCCGGGAAGACGTTGCTATAGCAACTAAGGGTTATGACGTACGTTTTCGACACATCAGATTCTGGTCTGCGACGACTACGTTATTTTAATGAGTGAAAACATTACAATTATAAAGGACGACACAGAAGCTCTATTTGATGCTGGTAAGTAATTGGACTATAAGTAAAAGCCGGGAATACCGAATGTATGTTACGTCTCGTCACAAGACTATACAACAAAATCATTTCACGTGAGAAATTATTAAATCGTACCCAAAAAACGCAAAAATAAATACACAAACCTCCATAATTTTACCGGTTCTTTTGTATGAGTGTGAAACCTAGTATTTCGTGTTAAGGGAAGAGCACAGATTTAGGATTTTTGAGAACTCGGTGCTTAGCAAAATATTTGGAAGTGCGAGGGGAGATGTGACAGGCTGGACAACATTGCATAATGTGGGACTTCATAATTTGTACTCTGCACCAAATACTACTAAGATGATCCTATCAAAGAGGATACGATGGGCGGGGCACGCAGCGCGAATGGAAGAGATGAAAATATTTGGTTGGAAAGCCTGAAGGGAAAATATCACTGCAAGACCTAGGTGTAGGAGAAATAATAATATTAAAATGGATCTTAGGGACCTCGAGTTCGGGGGTGGGGGGGGGAGGTAGACTGGATTAATCTGGCTCAGGTGAACACAGTAATGAACCTTCTGGTTCCATAAAATGCGGCGAATTTCTTGACTCAGTGTACCTTTTCATTAGCTTATCAACAACTACTGTTTCACGAAATCAGTTAATTAGTTACGAGATACGTTTGGTGAATCGGCCAATTAGCCTTCAGTAATTCAAACAAGCCAATTCAAAACATGACCTCAGCCAGTATGCTGGGTAGACTAGGGGCTGGATGACCAAGGTTCAATTATCGGTGGGGGCGGGGATTTCAGGGCAAATCCTCCGTGTTTCTTTGAGTGCCGGGGCGCTGCCCCGCCCTTCTATTAAAGACACGGAGTAGGCGTGTCATAAGGGCTTCGGTAGTTCTCCACTTCAAATATAATGTAGCGAGTGGGCCCTTCTAGAAATTTAGAAAAAAAAATACAAATGTTTTGTTCTGGTAATAAACTTTCTTTCTTTCGTCCCTTGCGGGTTGCTTATCATATAATTCTCATTTAAAAGTGTGCCGGTATAATTAAGAAACAAAGATAACGGAATGCTGTCTTTCGACCTGGAACTGCGTGCCCAGACACCCTACCACTTCCAAAACCTCACCCCCAGCCCGCATGCATTATTCAGCAAAACAGTCACTCACCTTCTTGCAATATTCTAGGATCTCCACCTTCTCCTTAAGACACAGCGCCTTGTTGTTGAGGTCGGTAACCCAGTGACCGCTCTCTGTCATGTACTGGCTGTGATACGCCTGCTGCTTATCGGACCCGCAGTACATCGCAACCTGTGGCTCGAAATGCGTTGCCGGCAAGTCCACCGTGCCTGGCACGGCCTGCAATAATATCACATATATCAGGATGGACGTTAAACAAAACAGAAGTTAGCAATGCAATGAGTTTAATTGAAAATCGCATAACCACCATCAAACAATGCAAAGACGTGAGATCCTCACGGCGGTCAAGATGTCGGTGTTAGTCTTCCAGGATGTATAACTGTGTGGACATCTACATATTTGAGGAACATACAGCCTCCATCTTAAGGTCTAAAGTCTGTTTCTACGAAACGCTGTTATCTACATAAATGCACACGTAAAACTTACACTTATGAGTGAAACAGCATTTGTGTCTTAACTGAAATTATGCATTAAATTTGACTTCAGCTGTAATTATATTTCGTCGCTGACAAACAACGGCTTATTCTGAATGAGATATTCCACGATTTTTAATATTCTTCCTGATTTTCATTTTTAAAACAGATTATCTTTCTTCAGAACTGAACAGAAAGGAGCAGTCACAAATTCTGGCACCACAAAAGGCAATTTCTCCATTCTTTTTATCATAATTGGATCACTCCGCGGGACGAGATACTATGTATATACCACTTGGTGCAGGATTGGGGTGAGAAATTCATGAGTCGTCTCGAGTCTAGGAGGGAAATTCTTGCATCAAAAGTTGTTCATCCTGGTAAACTACTGCTGCACTAGTTGCTCAACCTGCATAAAGCAAAGGAAGGCGGAGACGCATGGGAAACGCTAAGTCAGTTACTCAACTGAACACGGCAATGGAAATTGTGTGACATCCCCAAAGTTCTCAACACAAAAATTTATTTTCTTCTGTTTCTTTTTTTAACTGAGTTTTAGAAGAGTGGCAACGCTGTAGCATACAAAATAACACATTCTTGATAATATTTATATCACTGCATTGCGAAACCCCTAATACTACGAAAGTATCAAAAGCCTAAGCTCGTCTAAATACTACTTAACAATCCAGTTCTTACCTCAAAGGAAACACAACATTTCATAATTACAAAGACCAATTAGTATGATAATAACACGAAACCTATTAATACAAGAGGTCACAAAGTACAGATTGTGAGATCAAATGGCACAATAGTTACCGGAAATCAGAGTTTCAAACTAACAACCACTCCAAGCAGACATGAAATTGGAAATTGGAGGTACAGCTTCGGTCATAAACCTTGGAAACACGGTGGTGAGCGCTGGATTGGAATCCCAGTCGCTTAACCTCAAAGAAAAGAACCGCGGCAGGCAATGGATAAGAGACTGGGTGGGCTCGCGAAACTGCTGTTCTATAAAGGACGGCGAATTTCTTGGCTGGATGAGCGTATTGTTAGCTTCTCAAGAAGGACTCTGTTCTACGAAGTTAGTTACGATAGCCGTCCTTTATGTGGTCTGCACTGCACCGTCACGTGTTGGAGGCAGGCTGTAGGATGGAACAAGTCAGCATGGCTCGAAGCTCACTGAGACTAGTCTTCTTTGTATTAGCACAAACTCTCTGTATTAAAGCAACGGAAGCTGATGGACGGGATTAAGGGAAGACAAACATTAAGAAGACAAAGGAGACCAGGACTTGGCGCACAGACAATTTCCGGGATTTCCTACGAGGATGATAAATTCAATGCTGCAAATACAGTCAGAGCCTTAGAACCAAAACTGACTTATTCCTACAATTTAATTTTTATATTTTTATTTTCAATATAAAATTAATACAGATATTTGCAACGAGAATTATGGCGTTTCGTAGCGCGAATGCGGAAGATGAAATATCTGTAAAAAAATTATGGTTAGAAAGCTTGAGGAGAAGAGACCACTAGATGGAAACATAATATTAAATGGATCTTGGGAAAGCAAGAATGGAATGGGAGTTTTATGTAACACGTGTGTCCAAACACAGATCTAGTTGTCAACCTTACATCTACTTCAAGATGGGTCGTTTGGAGCCTATCAAAATTAAGTACGCTTACTGAGAAGGATTTACTTCCTACAAAATACACAAAAACGATACAAGGTCACACGGCGCCACAACCCAGAAGACTGGGCCCCGAAAGAACCTCAAATCTCGCAATTTGAACGCCGACTTGCAGCCCCTAACCTCCACCTGAACAGCAGAATAACCAGATCCCGCCCTCTGGCCCTCTGCCATGAGTAGCGAATACGTTCTCGGAATCATCTGGGACCCTATGACGCCTTTACGTATTCAAACGTCACACGTTCATCAACCCACAAGGGCATTCGTTCCACACATCGTTACCATTAGCTCGCCCTCTGATGTTCACCATTCAAACGACTGAACACATGGGTTTGATTGGGCACACATGCGTGCATTTCCACATTTAATACGCAGTTAATGTTAATAAAATGTAATCTCGATTTTCATGGGATTCGTCTTTGTCAATGACCGCTGCTTTTATTTCCAATAATTTTATAATTTTCGGTATGATGGAAGTTTAATGGTACAGTCCGTCTACACTCAATGGCGCCAGTCAATGAACCTACATAATAAAGCCTGGACTTCTGATCGCGTTGCTTGAATAACGTTCAAAGTGTCTATTCTAAGCTTCAAAGTCCGTCAAACAGAAAACCATGTACATTATACGGGAGGTGTAAGATAAATGCATGTTTAGAATACATTTATTTTATACTGAAACCTGAGCTTGTAACATTTTGTAGGACTGTGTGTGTGTCCCCTAAAACTGTTGAACCGAATAAGAAATTTTAATGTAATTTGGTATGAATATTACGCCATCCAATGGAAGGCCATAAAATTCCGAGTGATGAAACACGCATACTAGACCAACATTTAGATTTGGTTAAGGTAACGTTTCGCACAGTGTAAACATTACAATATGGCAGAAGTAAAACTATTTGAAGGTTGCAATACAATACAACATGTACAATAACAAAAACATAATTCACTCTAAAATTAATACCTGGACATCAATAGCGGCTATTCTATAAGTTAACTACGCCAGTATGATATAACTGCAGATATATTCCGCAATTTTTTTTTCAGTGTTCTGTCTGACGACAGGTCCATATGAACAGGATCCTTCCATCCTTTTCTCGGACTGGGACCTGTTCATATACATTCTTGGCAGATGATCCAGAAGTGGTTTGCCATTGCCTTCTTCTGTGTGTGAATGGAGTAATTGTTGGGATGCCACGGAGGAAACCTCCGTGTTGCCTAGACCACGGCCTTGCCCAACACAAGTTATAAATTCGGGCACCGCCGGGAATCGAACCCGAGTAAACCCAGCATAAGACAAATAATCTCCGAATACATTATGAAAAGTTTCTTTCATAAGAACTCGATCCAATAGACAGCAGAAGAGTCTATTTACTAAAACTGCGGCCGGGTGGGTGCAATCCTAATAGAACGGAAGGCAATCTCACTAATGCTTTGTGCTGTAAAACAGGAGGCAGTGTGCTGTGGTCGAACCGTGTCACGTCCTACTCGTATTGGCCAGCAGTTGTATTGCTTTTGGTCAATATCTCCCAGAGCAGCCGTCCGCATGAGACGTGGACAATGCCAAGCTAACCCCACGCACTGCGCACGCGTCAGAAATCCTCATTTCAGTTCCAAGTAATTAGTCCGAAACATAATTAAAAGCGGAATTGTGGCACAATATGTATACACCTTCAATCATAACCCACAGTGTATGATATTATCGAACGGTTGCCATAATTTCCACATAAAAGAAAATAAACTGTTCAGAAAAAAAAACTGCATATTCACGGTATTGTCAAAAAAGTTTCTGTTTCCAACGCACTCCATTTACCAACGCACGCAGATAACAATGGCGCCTAGAAACATATGCCACCTGTTTGGCGCCTATTTATTTATTTAGTGTTCTGTATGACGACAGGTCCATATGAACAGGATCCTTCCATCCTTTTCTCGGACTGGGACCTGTTCATATACGTTCTTGGCAGATGATCCAGAAGTGGTTTGCCATTGCCTTCTTCTGTGTGTGAATGGAGTAATTGTTGGGATGCCACGGAGGAAAACTCCGTGTTGCCTAGACCACGGCCTTGCCCAACACAAGTTATAAATTCGGGCACCGCCGGGAATCGAACCCAAGACCAGTAACTCTAGTGGACATAATCCCTAGAGTTTCTTTAAAAATACCGTTTTACTCTGTAAAGCACTTGTCTTCCAAGGTAAAATGCCAAATATTTCTAGTCTCTTCATAAGGGCCACCAACATAGAGCATTTTTTATCAATGATCCACTGCATAATCCAAACCAAAGGCATCAGAAAGAAAGTTCATCAAAGGCTTCCAGACGTACAGTAGCAGTATTTCAGGAAGACGCTGGAATTTATCTCACAACTTCCAATTTAAAGTTAAGTTCCTTTACAGTGGAGAGAGAAAAAAAACACACGAGAAGCTTTGAAATTCACGTTTCTTGTCACTATTCTATGCCAGAGAAATAATCCATTGTGCAGAATCCTTTCAAGGATACACATTCGGTAAGACACACAAAAAAAACTCTTTTTGAGCGAATACGAAGGTACATCAGAGCCATCCACTGGTCCAGACAAATTTAGTCCACATTCTCAACCATTTAATTATATTCCAAAGAAATTAAGTTATAACAAATTTGATAAAAGGCACGATGAGTAGAGAAAAAATAGCAAAAAGCATCCTATCGACTTGTAAAGCAAGTGATAGGTTTCGATTATCGATATTTAAACATTCTTATATTTCAGAAACTTGTTCTCCCAGTGCATATATGCCATCTAACGAAAGTATCGATGATCAAACCGATAGAAATTATCTTTGAGTTTTCTAAGATTATATTTTTTTTTGCACTGTGCAGTACGCTGTGCCATTCGAGATTTCCCTACTTGCATAACTTCAATTTAGACAATCTTATAAATATACCGAGTGGCTATACCCGTATTTAATGTGAAAATTTTGTGATTAAGAACGTGTGATTCATGAATATACGTGTCTAAAATGGTGACTTCTGGCATCATTCATTGAACTGAAACTGATTAAATTTGGTCCTTATGCCATTCCATACGTAGC